CTACTACACGTTGCCAGATCAAATTCCAGAAAGATTGTGGCCCTTTGACTTTTAACAGGTATCTTTAATGCCAGTTAATCAGCTCAGACCCTGACGTGCAAATCAGTAGATCATGATGTTATTGCCACTTCAGCAAGAAACCATATGGCTAATTTATTTAATTATTCCCTGTAGGGTACTTTCCCACCTCAGTCTTCTACCCTGGGTCTTGGAAGAACAGAGTAAATCGAGGAACAGGTCCTCCCTTTCCCAAATGAGGCAATCATCTAACTATGTCGACTGTTAGTTGAGAACCTGAGTGGCAGCAGGTACAGCCCACTGAGATTGTGCAATGCGGCCAGGACCTCTAGACGGGAGTCTGTGCAATTAGCCAAGACAGTTACTGCATTTTTGGCAGTGAAGCAGCAGTTAAAGCAAAGAAGGATCTTTTTCCAAGAAGGAAAAGCCATTTAATAAGTTTGAGTCAGTTTGCTCATAACAGCCCTACATTTGAGGACCAGAAACCCCAGGAGCTTGGCAAGTCAGTGCTTGGCAGGTCTTCCCACCAACTCACCAAGTCTGAGGCCGGCCAGGCAGAACTTGGCTCCCTCTGCTTTGACTGTATTCATTTAATAGCATTCCTAGTTAACAAGAAAGTGAAGGCAGGAATCTTTCTCCCCATTAATCCAGAAGAGCAAAATGTAGTGGCTCTAAGCACAGTCCAAGTAACTCCATCAGCAGGGAAACAGGCTGTCTGTTTGCCTTGTGGGGTGTATGCACTGTTGGATGTATGCAGCTTGGAGGTTGTGGTCCACCAAAAATGACATTAATGTTTAGGAATCAGGCAGTGGTTTCTTTTTTATATATGAATTAAAATTTGGATATGGCTACCCAGTGTGAAAGTCTGATTTTATAGTGTGTCAGGGAGCCACTGATACCTGTCTCATGAATAAATAAAATAAAAACTAAGTACATTTGTATGAATTATTTTAAAATACAGTGTGTTCTCTTTCCTTTTTCCATTTCACCTATGGAACTCTTGCCAAAATGAAATCAAGTTTGAGTGTTTACAATGTAAGAGAAAACCAGTTTGTGGATTTTGAAATTAGGAGATGGATTTTTTGTTTGTTTGTTTCATTTATTTTGGTTTTAATTTCTTTTTTCTCTGCAAATATTTCTGATGAAATAAACAGGTCTGATCATCTAATGATGGATTATTTGAATGAAGATTGAAATTGAATTGGAAATGTTGAGAACGAGCGTGTTTATACTTCTCAAAAAGCTGCAGCACCACCTGCAACTGATAAAAATTAGTACAAACATATCAAAAATCTTTAGAGAGACATGTGGCCAAGCCAGTGCCAACTTGGACAGAATCAGAGCACTGGCTGCTTAGAGGAAATATCCCAACATTCAACTAATCAAGATGTTAATCCAAAGTAAAGATTAAAATGTTTTACATGGTTCAGGATTGCTTGGAGCAAAGGTTAATGCTGAGAAAGAAATGGTTGATTTCCTAGGATTTTTTTCCCTTATTGTCTATTTTCCACAACATGAGTGTCTTAGTTACATGGAGTTCACTCAGTCTTTAGAATAATTTCTCATTAACAATTTATAAAGATATGTTTCTGGTATAAGGATCTCAGTGTGTGAAGTTCTAGATTCATAACTGGTGCTACCATGGCCTCTACAGAAAAGAGCCTATGGTTCTATGTATGAGATCCGTCCAGGGGGGCAGGAAATGAAGCTTTCTCAACCCACAGCCTGTAAACACAAATATAAGTTGCCTTTATCTAATCCGCCACATACCATTATTTTGCTTATAATAAACGTGTTACACTGAGATTTCTAACTTTATCAGGTTGACTTAATAAATTTATTTTTCACCCAGTGGTGGCACTATTGACATTTGAGGCCAGATGATTCTTCGTTGTAGGGAGCTATGCTGGGCATTGGAGGATATTTAGCAAAATCTTCGGCCTCTACCCATGGAATGCTAATAGTACCCTCACGAAGGTGTCCAGCCATTGTCATTGCCTTCAGAGGAAAAATCAATCCTAGTTGAGAATTACTGCTTGAAATAGTTTTGTAAATAAAATATGAACATGTTTTGAAAGGTTCAGAACTGTACAAGAAGTATGAGAGTCCATACTACCTCCTGAAGAACACTTCTGCTGCGTAAAAATAATGAATATTATGTTTCTTTTATGTCTTCCGGAAAGTTGCCATGTAAAAGTATGTACAACTATCCTGCACAGTCATGACCCATTTAACATATACCTTGATATTTTTCATTTTAACATATCTATGAGTTTTATATTACTTTTTGAAATGTCTGCCCAGTGTTGCATTGTTAAGGATGAACCATAATTTGTTAGACTTGTTTCCTTCTTTGATATCTTATACATCTTATTTTAGCTCGTTTCATGAGAAGCCACATTTTCTTTCGCTCTTCTGTGTTTCTCAGGAGCATTCAAGATATTCTTCTGCCCTATGACCTAGTTCCTTCTGTAGAGATCATTTCATATTATTGTCATTTATTTATCTATCATACTATTTCATATACATATATATTTGTTTTCCTTCTTATTTTCTGATGCTGTCGAGGGAAGAGGGGCTGCAGAATTGTCTCAGAACACTTTCTCATCAAATATTTGCCTCTTCCACCCTGGGCAGCTGTCACTTTGCGGCAATAAGTACCTCCCTCACCACCATTTCTTCTCCTTTGGCGAGTTGGAGGGCCCCGTATCTCACAGTGAATGCCTGTATGTTATGGGTTTTCTGTTGGATGAATTTGCATTTATTTCTTTCCAGGTTCCCTCGGTCAGTCACCACCCAGTTTACGGTCATTTAGGCTCCATGCTTTACCTACCATCCTCCTCACTTGCTTCTTGGGGGAAATGGTGTTTGCGAGTACATAGCGCTTCACCTTCATTTTGCTTGCTGTGCTGAATAGAGCAAGGGACCTAGGCCATGTCTTGTCCCTGCTTCTAGATTTCACCCTTTAAATAAGAGTTGGTTCACCTGTTTCTTGGATTGTTTCCTATTTCCTGGAAAACTTTTTACTCTGTAGGCTTTGTCTATTGGCAGTCCCCCTTGTTTGAGGTAATCTTGTGTTTATTATTTCTGTTCTGTGTCACCTGTACTTTAATAAAGACTGTCCCATAGTTTCATTGAAAATAGCTATTTTCTATTTTCAATTATTTTTTCTTTTTTCAATCGATAGTAGGGGAAGAGGAGAGCTATAGAAATATCACTACTCTACCTTCAACAAAAGATGAATTAACTGAATTAAGCAATAAAATAGTTTGGTGTTCACTAGACATTTATTAGTGTTTGTTCACTTGTTTGAATAGGAGAATATAGAAGTAAAACGTAATTGTGAGGAAATAAGGTTAAAACTCTTAAAACAATTTACAAATATGCTTGAGTCAGATGTGGATTCAGGTTCTCATTGCACCAAAAGTTTGGTTGAAGTGTTGATTGTCAAGGCCTCAAGTGGTTAGAAAGCTGTGCGATCGGAAATGTTGTTTTAGGGGACAGCTAATATTTGAACAGATGTAAAAATATTCTGAATGCAGAATACAGCACAAACTTCTGATTCTTAGTTCCCCATCAGTATTTTTTGACTGAGAACGGCCATGCCTTATGGGGACCTCTTGGGAGAAAGTTGGATTTAAGAGTGAGTTGGCATATGGACAGATTTTTGAAGGTCAGTAAGGTCAGCAAGCTTATCTTAGGTTTAGGGGAGAACTGTATTAGTATTTTGAACCAGGGTACAAGATCCTGAAAGCTGTGCTTACGAGAACTTCATCTGGCATTTGAATTGAGTTGTATTTCATTTGATCCCACTGGAACTCGGTGAGTCCTTTATGTTAGGTATCACACTCAGTACAGTTATACAGTGTAGGGAACAGTTCCTCTTGCAAGAAGGAACTTGCAAGAAGGAACTTAGTCTGGTGGGTTCAAGAAGCTGATTTGAAAAATTCTGACTCAGTAACATTGCAGTAGCAGAGTGGATCTCAACTCTTACTATCATGGAGTAGTTCCTCTGTGTTGTAATTGTAGTTCTACTATAGTAACAGATTCAGTCTGTCATGCTTTTTACCACTAAGGTGGATTCTGTGATTCACATGGGATGCTTTAACGTCTACCCCCAAATCACTGGAATCCTGTTGTATCCCATAAATTTAGATGACTTTTAAACAGCAGCATTTTGTATTCCATTTTTCCATATTCACTGCCTTCTAAATCACGTTTTCGTTCATCCTCATGATGGCTCGCCCCTCTTCTGTTGCACTCTTACTGCTCCACGTCTTCTCCTAATTATGCCTGCCTGATGGCTCCTTCTCTAAAATATTTTTATTCCCTGGCATTTTGCTCTGCAGTTGTTTTTATGTTGGTCCTGCTTAATCAATTAGAATTATAGTCCACTTGAAGACATAAATAATCGTCTACATTTTATTTATTTATACATCCCATGTTACTCCAGATGATTTGAGCATGTTTCTTCAATATTACCACCTTTGACCTTTGCTGAAGTGGTGGACATTCGATTAAGGAGGGTCGATATTTTATGAGCTAAACACACAAATGACCAACAAAGGAGTTTTTGTTGTTTTTTATTTATAGTTTTTATCTGTTTGAAGGTCCAACAAAGATAAATCATATTAAGTCAACTTTATAGGGAAAAAGAGCATGAATTTGAGACTCTTCCAGTCAATGAGAAAGTGTCACCACAAAACATATTCAAAATAAATTAAACATAAGTTGCTTTTCCGTAAATGTGTGCACATTAACAAATTGACATATGCCTTAAGATACATTTCCCTTAAAATATCGGTACATGTGATATTGGGAACTTACATTTTATGAAAGAACGACCGCCACGTCCTGTGGCTCTTTATCCCTCAGCAGCTGTGTCCAGCTGGTGGTCCTCATTCCCCCTGCTACTTCTTCAGTGAATGGAAACATTTAGGTCAATATTGATATAAAACTTCTTGAACTTTCTTCTCTTTCAGCTTTGGTTCGCCTTTGTTAATGGATTTTCTGGGCAGATTTTATTTGAACGTTGGTGCATCGGCTTGTACAATGTGGTAAGCATTCTCCATCTCTATCAGATAGCATGCAGAACTTCAGTGACATTCCTTTACTGTTTATGTCTGGGAAGTGTATCTAAGTCAATCATCTGTATACATAGCAGGCAGCACAAATATATCTTTAGAGCCTTTGTTGCTGTGACACATCCTGCAGAAGCCCGTGCTCTCCACACATGGTTTCAATCATAGCAGATCATTCTTGAATAACCCCATGAAATTATTAACCCATATATCTTGATAATAGACCCTTGTTACCTCCTTACTAAATGCCTGCACAACATTTCCATGTTTTTAGCTCAAGTAGAAACTTCTGAGCTACATCTAAACCTATTTCACTTCATAATTTTATTTCTGAACTCTTAAACATAGATACACATATATAGTATGTAATCTAGTGTCCTTTCTGTCCTTCTTAAAAGAGTATCTGTCCTTGTGGAGGAATGTTTTCTTCCACAGCTAGTGCTAAAATAATGAATGCTGACTCCCAGCTCCCATGGTGAATGGTAATCAGCTTATTAGGTATTTTTCATGATTTCACAGTTCTTTTTTCATTGCTTCACTATCATGAATTCAAAAACTGGAAACAAACATAAACTGTAAGCCAAAATGATGAAGTATAGCTACTTAGCTTCTTGTTTGGCAGGGATAACTAACTGAGGGACTCACAGCTTGGTGCTTTAGAGACCCCAGCATGCAACATTTCAAGTTGTACTTTCTCATGTGTTTTGGACACTAATTCTGACATTGCCTGCCCTGGGGGAGTTTATAGTCAGAAGCAGCTATCATAGGTAGAAGTAGACAGAAGTTACCAGACATACAGTACACATAGTGATGCTATAAATATTTACAGCTTGTGTATACATTTGTGGCTGGATGTGCAAGTCATCTATCCACTCAATCCTTTTTTTTTTTCTTTTTTTGGTAGCTACAAGGCTAAGATGCTGTGTATAAGATGCTGCATGTGATAGGTTCCCCAGCCCTGTGGAGTTTGACAAGTTAAGAGGGTCAAATGGATAGACTAAGCTGCCACTGAGCCTGAGTTCAGATTTTAAGCAGCCTGAATTTAGACAGTGTTGGTCAGTTAATAAGTGTGCTACGACCAAGCATTAGTGAGTCTGTTGCTAATACTTAGGCTCAAAAGGCAAAGCTGACCATGGTGAGAGCAGGGCTGAATCAATGCCCATTCATCACCTGTGCTGGAACAGCTCCCCTGACTCACCTGCCACATGGATAGAGGCTCCAGGACATTCCCTCCAACCAATTGTTCACTTTGCAGAACTTAACTGTTTTAGTAGATTAAAATTATGCTCACTGTTCCATAATGATTTAGTGCCAGAATGGGTCAAATCCATGCTCATATATATATTTATAGATAGGAAGCTGAGACCTGTGAGACTGTGCTTTAGAGCTCAGGAATGAAATACAAATCACCTGGTCACATGATGCATGGAGGTTAGCCCTACTTTGATGCTCAGCCATGAGAGCTAGATTCTTTTCTTAGTTCTGTGCAGCCTTGGGCAATTCAAATAAATCCAACAAACTTGTATTGAGGACCTGCTCTGCATAAGGTGCTGAGAGGCTATAGAACAGTGTTGGTCAAAATATGGTCCACACACCACTTACATTAGAATAACCAGGATTTGTTTGAAGATGCAGATTCCTAAGCCCCATCAGAGTTTCTCAGAGATAGCGAGAAACAACATTTTAAACACATTTTTTTAGTAATGACTGTGCATGTGAAAATTTAGGACCTGCAATGACTTTTGATCCCTGAAGTTGGGAATGTGTTACATGTTCTTTGTGTCCCCCAGACTTTAGAAAAGACAATATTGTGGTAGAGAAGTGAATTTCAAGGTGAAATGACCCTCTGTCACTCCAGTCCACAGTACAGGTGTTGGAGTGAGCTGCCAGCAAGTGGTGGCAAAGTTGGCATGATCAAGGATCTGTAAAGTGATGTCAGAAAGGTGTTAGCCTTCAGAAGTTAGTCATGCTGAAAGGGCCGAACCCTTTGAGAACATGGAAGCTTATCCCCACAGAAATGGTTTGGTAACTTTTATTTGAAACTCAGAAATATTGCCAAAAGAGTACGAAGAACTATATTAGATTCCTCAGTTATTAGCATTTTGTCCTCATTTGAATTGTCTCTCCACGCATGTACATGTGTGTGCACACCTCTCATGGGCAAATATGCATACACCCATAGACATGCATGTGCGTGCACACATAGGCACGGGCACTCATGGTGCACACACACCAACACAGTGATTTCCGAACTGCTTGAAACTAACAAGACATCAGGCCCTTTTACTGCTTAATACTTTGGTGCATAGATGCTAAGACCATTCACCTATATAACCACAGTAGACTGATCGAAATCTAAAATTTAGCATGGATACAGTACTATTGTCTGATCCACATTAGTCCATATTCCATTTTTGCCATTGCTGTTCCAATAATACCTATTTAGTAAGTTTTTTGCACTCCAACCTCATGATACAAGAGACAGTTTGGGACATCCAAGACGTTCACTAGAGCCTACCTCTTCTGGGCTGGATTTCCTCTTGCCATTTTCTCCAGACAATTTTTCAGCCTTGCTTTGTCTTCTTCTGTGCTTGCTCTTTATATTTGATTCCCCAGGCCCACTAAAGTAGCAAGTCATCATTTCTCACAGCAGATTAAATGGCATTAAAACTGACTTGAGGGCAGCCCATGTGGCTCAGCAGTTTAGTGCCGCCTTCAGCCCAGGGTGTGATCCTGGGGATCCGGGATTGAGTCCCATGTCAGGCTTCTGACATGGAGCCTGCTTCTCCCTCTGCCTGTGTCTCTGCCTCTCTATCTGTTTCTCGAATAAATAAATAAAACCTTAAAAAAAACTGACTTGAAACTCTTAAATCTCTCAGAATAATGAATGAATGCCATCCCATTGGATTCTCATTGTATCCATAGTCAGATTTCTCCATCATTTTATTTAATGGCTACAAGAATCACCATGATCAGATAGATTTCAGTAAGATTTAAGCTCTTATTTTATTAAGAGATAATTCTTAATGTGTTTTAAGCTGTTTCAAAAATTTATCCCATTTAATCTTATCAAGCCAGCATAATTTGAAGAAAAAAACTGTGAGCCAACCTCACTCAAAAACAAAATTAGAAAAATTCTAAAAATAGCAGCAAATAGAGTTCATCAATGTATCAAAAGAGTAAAATATTTGACCAAGTAGGTTTTTTTCAGGAATATAGGAGGTTTAAAATTTTTTAACTTTTTTTATTTTTAAACCTTTCTAAATATCATCATATCAACAGAAGAGAAAAGAAAAACCTCATCTCATCAGTGGATGCTGAGAAAGTATTTGAGGCAAGTCGGCTGCCATTCCCAAAATAAGAACTCTAAGTAAATTAGGAAAGAAAGAAGCCAATTAACTATAAGCCTGACTATTTTTATATTTTAAAAAATGGCATATTGCCATAAATGGTAAAATTCTTAAACAATTTCATTTTAAATAAGAAATTAGTCAGGAATGCCTGAAATCACTATATAATTCAGCATTGTTTTTGGAATTTTCAGCAACTCTCAAGAAAATTTATTACAAATACTAGAAAAAAATGACATCTGTGCTTATATAAATATGCACACAAAAAGTGGCCTTTTAAATGTGTTCATATGTGACTGGATATCTAGAAAACCCAAAAGATACCTGTAAAGAAATACTAGAATTATAAGAGAATTTATAAGGTGACTAGATACACAATAGATATGTAAGAATCAATAGCTTTTTTCTATCCTAGCAATCAATAGCTTATTTTTTTAACTCTAGTTGTGAGCACTTATAAATACAAAGGTGTAATAATTCCTTCATATACATCACATAGGAATAATTTTTATAGTACCAAATAGAAAAAAGTCCAAAATTTTATTGAAATATACAAAATAGAGTTGAATAAATAGAAAGGCATATTATCCTTTTATATGAGAAGATAGTATCATTAGAAAAAACTCCTCTAAATTGATATATAAATTTATGTATTCCAAATAGAATCCCAGTGATTGGTAGGGGGAATGGGAGTTGCATAAAATGATATCAAAGTATAAAGAGAATTAACACGTACCTGTGAATAAATATGTAAAGTACAAAAAAGAACAATTTTAAGGGTCAACTTCTCTTTCTGAAGCATCAGACTATACTACAAACCTGTAGTAACCAAGTTAATGTGGTGCTGACAGGAAATTGGACTAATAAGTTAGAGAATCCAGAAGTAAATTCCAGTTTTGGATTCCAGATCTGTAATATGTGAGAATTTAATAAATCTTCGCAAAATTACAAATCCAAATGTCCAACAAATAAAAACATGCCTGAGCACACTGGTAGTCAGGGAAATGTAAATTTTTTTAAAGATTTATTCATTTATTTTAGAGGGAAAGACAGAGTGTGTGTGTGTGTGTGTGTGTGTGTGTGTGTGTGTGTATGAGCAAGTGCAGAGGGTCAAGAGGCAGAGGGGGAAGGAAATAGAGAAACTCTTAAGCAGACTCCACACTGAGCACAGAGCCCAACTTGGGGTTTAATCCCAGGACCCTGAGATCATGACCTGAGCTAAAAACCAAGAATCAGACGTTCAACCAACTGTGCCACTCAGGTGCCCCAGGAACGTAAATTTTTTAAACTAAGAGTTAATATCTTTGATTTTTTTTTTTAGTCTGGAGAATATTAAATATAACACCCATTGCTGATAGGGAAGAAGGGACAAGATTATTGTTGTCTTTTGTGAAGAGAAAGGTAAACTTTTTTTGAAAGCAACCAAGCAGCATCTTTTAAAATTTAAAATAAATGTATCTTTTAACTCCACAACCCTGTTTCTGAGAATCCTTCCGATAGAAATAAAAGATAAAGTATATATGTTATAATATATTGTGGATGTTTATTATATAATGTTTGTGGAAACAAACGAATGCCTATCTATAGGTGAATGGCTGAAAAAATACAGTGCATCAATTCTTATGTGGGCCTGAAAAAGATTGCATTAGTGTCAATCCCAAGGGACTTGAAGCACATCCCATAATGTATTGTTTTGTGAGAAAAATATGATGAAGAAAAATGTATATAATGTCTTGTTTCTGTAAAAACAAAGAACGATCCCCAAACACTATGTGTACATGATATATTGTAAGCAGGGTGAAAATATGGTAGATCCTACTGATTGGTTGGCTACTGGTAAAGGGTGAGAAGATTTGAAGTGAGTAGAAAGTCAAGTGGAAAAGGAAAAAAAAAGTAAGTATAGCAGTATAAAGTATGCATTATAGCACCTTTAAGCAAAACCACAAGGGTGAGTTGATATACTGAGTGTGCAAAGCTTGTGAGATGTTTGTTAGGAGCACTTCCCTTAAACAGATGACTTGTATTCCTATGAGAGAGACAAGTACCACCACTCTTGATCCTTTTATCCTGGAAATCAAGAGAAGGCTGAAAGCCCAGGGCTGTTTTCCTTTTTGCTCTTGGGTGAAAGAGGAGCCTGCAAGTTTTATTGGCCTTTCTCCACCACATCTCTGATTGTTTTATCCTAAGAGATTTAGAAGAGGCTTATTTATCTGGACTCAGGCTCTCTGTAACTGGTGTACACAGAGTTCTCAGAGGCACACATCCAGTTCCCACGGGCTTGAGGGCTAGCTGGGTTTGTGGATAGGGATTTTCCCGAAGCATCACATGCTAAACAGTGAGTGACCCAGTCTCTGACCCATTCCCAGAACCAAGTAAGAGAATGACCTGCAGGACGGCTGCACCCTAAACTAATGGGCTTATTCTAAACCTCTTCTCCAGGATCTAGCTTTCTTTTTCCAAAACACAAATATAAGCGTGTCAGTCCCTGTAGATTACAGGTAAAGGTAAAAGTCTCAGAAGGCAGCATCTTGGGTAGTCAAGAAACTCGTGGTCATGTCAGGTTGCTCTGTCTCCTTCCCAGTCTTGTCTTGTTCCATGGCTCAGCCAGCCACCATCCTGGATGTCTTAGAGGTGCAACCCCCACCCCTAAACGTCCCACAGGTGTTTATACCTGAAGCTTTGTTAGGGGATGCTTGTTTCCCAGGAGTGCTTCCTGCTGCACCCCTCTCCCCAAAGTCCCTTGTTATCCAGTCCCTTACAGGCCAGGCCCTCTTTGGTCCCAGAAGCCTTTCCTGACCCCCCCTTCCCCTTCTCCATCCTCTCCCCCATGAGTAGTTTTGCAGAGCTCTATGTTTTATGTGTTTATTTATACGGCTGCTGCCGGCTGCCCGTCTCCACCTCTGCAGTAGACCGAGTTCCTGGAGGTCAGGGACCTGCTTCTTTTCCTTCTTCTTCTGTCTTTAAATCTCTGTGCGTGTTCTTGGTGCTTATCGCAGTGTCTGGCGCGTAGTTCATTCCCAATAAATGTTTGTCAAATGAAGAAATGGAAAAAGTACCTCGTGCTTCCTGAAATTTGAGTATAAAATCAGAATGAGAAGGTGTAAAACTGTGCCACAGCAATGCTAAGGGAAAGCAGGTTGCTTCACAAAACCACCTAAATCACCGCTAAAGCCACCTAAATCACCGCTTGTTTGACAAAGGAAGGCACTTGTTCATTAAACGTGATTTCTAAGCTAATCGAATATTTACGGTGGTGTTTTTCATGGTCAATGGATTCATTTTATGCTGATGAAGTAACAATTAAAAACAGTCTTTCATGTACTTGCTTTGTGTGAAGGGTGTCTGGGGAATTGTGAATCATTGAATCTCATGTTCGGACTTGACCGAAAATTAAGTCATCACTCAATAGAACGGAAACACCTAAACTTGCTTGAATCGGGAAGTCCTCTTTTAATGGCTCATTGTTCTCCACACAGATTTTCACCGCACTACCACCCTTCACTCTGGGAATCTTCGAGAGGTCTTGCACCCAGGAGAGCATGCTCAGGTTCCCACAGCTCTACAAAATCACCCAGAATGCAGAAGGCTTCAATACAAAGGTATATGGTGTTATTGCAAAATTGTCCCCTCAGAAGGGCGTAGGCACTGCTTGATGTCTTCCAGCTCAAGTGCACCTCCTGTGAGAGAGCTAATGGATTAGAGAGAACGTTTGAGAAAAGGTGAAACCCCAGCCCTCTCCCAGTAGACCAAGCTGGTGAATTCAAGATGCCCACTTGGAAAGGAAGCTTCCGTGTTGCACGTTCAGTTCCTGTGTGTGGACTCCTTTCCTCTTGTCCACATGTACCTCTGACACTAGTCTGGCCAGAAGTACCCATGGCCCCACGTACCTTAGGATCAGCTGTCAGAGACTCCCCTTACCCTTCAGAAAGCCCTACATGAGGCGGGCTGGAAGCTTGCCTAACAGAGCCTTCTCACCACCATGGCTTGGGTTTTTCATTGAAAAGAAAACATTTCTTTAGCTAGCGAGTCAAATTGGCCAGATGTCAACACAGGAATCAAGTCAGTCATAGGTATTTTCTTTTTCAGACTGGAGAACCAGCAGAGAGAAATCCTCTAGACCTAAAAGGTATAAGCAATCCTACAAAGGGCCAAGCAGAAGCTGGGTTAGGTGTTACCAGGATTCCGCAGTCAGGACTGGTGAAGGGGAATCTCACAGGGTCTGCCAGTCATAGCTAAGTGGCAAAGTTGGTTGAGGGCCACTGGCCAGAAGGGAAGACATGTGCCTGGCTTGGTGCAACACGCCTGTATTGCCATGTTTCTGTCTTAGATTTTTGTGCAGGAGGGAATTAGGAAGTTGAAACAGGTTCATTTAAATATTTTAACATTTTGAGAGAGGTCGATTAAATTACTGGGCACGGGTTGTGTGCAAGATTTGCTTGGTTAGCCACCGTGGCCTGGTAAGGATGACAAAGGAAGTCCTCCGTAAGAGAACAATCTATGAAGCCATTGTTTTGAGCCAGCTAGTCTCCCTTCAGAGCTGCCTTATTTTGAGGAAAGCGTTAGGCACATCCAAGACAGGAAAAAAACAAAATGGATACTCTTGGTCCTAGTGTCTTCCATACCAGGGAAGACTCAGATGAATAATTGTATCAGTCCTTGTTTACTATTATTTTATCAGTGGGAAGTATGGCCTGTTGGTTCTGCATTCTTTACATAAATCCATTTTTTACAGAGCTTGAATTCAAAAGCCCTGTAAGATGGAAAGTAGGGAATGGACCCACCTAAAAGGTAGTAGAGGCGAGAATGCTCCAAGACTTATTTACAGATACCTTGGAGATTTTTTTTTCTTTTTTTTTGGTGGGGGGTGGGGTGGGTTAGGAAGTCAGGGAGAAGGAAGAAAAACATGAACATTTAAAATGGGAAAATCCCATTGTCTTATAATTTTTTTCATTACTTTCCATTTCCCCACCACTACTTTAAGATCAAACTATATGACAATCCCAGAACAATCTGTAGATTTTTTAAATAAATTCAAGCTGGCTTTAGTATCATAGTTCTGTCATCTTAGTATTTAAAAAGATAATTAAAATGCATTTATGAAACTATAATTTAGAAGAAACTAAACTTGTACTCTTTTGTTTGACCTTTCAAGTGTTAAAGAGAATTTTTAAATGTGCATGATATTAACCAAACTTCTAGAAATTAACAAGTTGCTCGGGAGGGATTTTAAAAAGCAAAACAAAGAGAGAGAGCGCCCTGTAGGGAATCTACACTTAAAGTGTTTTTAATGCTTTCAAAAAGTCCACAGTTTCTGTCTCTTGTTAACAACTTTGACCTAATACCTTTCTGTTTCTAGATGATTGTAAAAGTTTGTTGTCTTTCTTTATGATTCTAAAAAAAAATTTTATAATTCATTTTTTGGATGTGGACAGATTACATACTGGTCTGTGTATAAGTGCATATACATTTAGGTCTTTGCTGCAAGGTAATATTATCTGGAGATAGTCCAGTCATTTGTATGTAAAAATGAGGAAATAAGTATTTTTTTAACTTCAAGAATAATACGTTACTTCTGGAGCTACGCAGCACACTGCCAGTATCCTTCACAATGAGGCATTTGTTGAGTTGCACAGAGGTCAAGAGTTGTGGGCAGCTCCTGACTCCCTTGGTTTGTTTTCCCTTAGGTTTTCTGGGGTCACTGCATCAACGCCTTGGTCCACTCCCTCATCCTCTTCTGGTTTCCCATGAAAGCGCTGGAGCATGGTAACGGCTTCATGATTTCAACTGTCAGCAAGTAGTCCCTGTGGTGCCAGTTGTTCACAATTTTTTTTTTCCTGGTTCTGCAGACTGAGAGATCACAAGAACACATTTTAGAAGGAAAACATACCTAAAATCTAATGAGAGCTAGGGCTCAGGTTTATAGCTTGTAGGTTTCATCCATTCTGGCTCTGAGAGCCTATTTTCTTTCCAGTTGCCTGGAGAGTTTAAATGCTAGGAATTCTAAACTTTATTTTTAATAACTGTTTGAATCTTGGATCTTGAAGCAAAGCACTGTACTGCAATGGAACGTCGATGCCACTTGTCCACGAGCTTGACATTTTCTGTTAATTACTTGGGCTTTCGTTTTCCAACCTCACACCCCTATATGCAGAATAACTCAAATCTTGTGAGTGTCTAAACTTACGCCTAGTTCTTTGAAAGAGTCACCCTTATTTGACATACACTTTTCAAGAAAACTTAAAGTTGGAGGACTGATTCAACTGAGAGCTGGACTCTCCTCCAGCTGAAAGACAATGTGTGTGAAATGTGACTGTCTGTATTTGCTCACACTCCATAGTACATCCAAAAGGTTGCCTCCTAAAGAGATACATCTTTGAGTCTTAGAAAAGGAAAATGTATCATGAGAATGCTACTCTTTCATCCCTCTCAAATAGTAATAATCCCCCTGGGAAAAATTACTCTAAATGTTGACTAGACAAGGCCTTTTATTGTTCAGAGAACCGAAGAATATAAAGCTTCCAAGCCTCTTTGTTTCTGAGTCAATGTGTTTTGTGCTTCAAACAGAATGATTCATCCTTACTGATATTCTTTAACCTATTAAATCCTGACAGAGAAAATGCATGCATAGCCAATTTATTATACCCTATGATCTGTTCTTCGAGTTTCATCTGACCTCCTTTTCCTTCGAGGGTCCCTAAGTCTCTAGATCAGGAAATAAAATTTTCTGCTTCTAACCCCACCCCTACAAAGGGCATTCTAGCAAAATCGTGTTCTTTGAACTCTAAAGCTTTTCTGTGATTCATCTTTACTCAGTGTGGATTTTTCTGTATTTTGACAGAGTAGGGTCTACAAACAGAAGAATGTTGAATGTAGTTTGTTTTAGAAGCTCTGCCAGTTCGGTGATAGAAGCAGCTATCATGGCAGCACGATGGACTGGTGATGGGAAGCAATTTGTCTGATGAGTAAGAACAATTTGGGCAGTTGTCCTCTTGTCCCTGCTCTAATACTTAGGAAGACACAGGGAATAGCCTGGACTGACCACAAGTACTCTCTCCGGGCCCCTTACCCTTCTTATCTAGACATTGCACTCTGTTCCTAACTCTGAAGTGCTTGCGTTTGGACTCTCAGATGATTTATTAAATGGTCATTTCTTGCGTGCTTCAAAAAACACTAATGTGGCCCATTCTACAGTAGAGGTGATGGTTTTCCAATCCTGGAGTTAGGATTCTGCACTCCAGGATTATAGCTTGCTGTATATGGTGGAATTGCTATATAGTCTACTAGATGTCATTATGTAAATCTTCATTCACCCAGAATAGCCTATGCTTAAAAGCAGATAGACTCCCAAAAGTTACTAATTTAGCTGAGAGATAGCCCCAAGTGAATTTCAAGTTCATTTCTTCCACCCTTATCTGCTTCCCTCAAACTTAGCAATTTGCCTAGTAGCCAGCCTATAAGATGAGTTTTTCCAGTTTGCATTATCATCACTATCATCATCGATGCCATTATTTACTAAGCTTTCAGGATAGAGATTTTCTTTTAATTGTGTTGTAAACATTAGCCTCTTAAGTGAAACTATATAAATGAAATAAATTGCAAATATTAAGTATATTTGGCAGAGAATTAATTTGTGTTCTTGTTCATTAGTCTATGTCCTCTAACAAATAAATATTTTAGAATTAATTTCTAAATTCTCACTATTAATGCATAGCAAAAATGATTGCATCATTGCCCATTAACCTTTTTTGTGTAATATTTATGTCTAAGAAACTATGGTGGATTCTAAGGGTATTAGGTGAATGAATCAATATGGGTCTTAGCATCAAAGAGTTTATAGTTTGGTTAGGGAGTCCAGATTCGTGCATGGAAACTTCTAGTACAAAGTAGAAAATAATCGCCTCAAGTAAAATACAGATAATACGCTATGGGATTTCAAAGAGCTGAGAGAGAAATGCCTTTCATTTGGGATTATTAATGACTGGCTAGAAGAGATAACATCTAAGCTTAGTGTGGAAGTCCAAGTAGGATCGAGATGTATAGGAATGGAGTCAAGAGCTGAACAAAGTGGGGAATTTCAGGGCAGATGTGGAAATTGCTGTGAGGAATTGATGCCTTCAAGGGTGGAAGACAAGAAAAGGTTTGATAAGGTGAGTGAAAGCTGGACAGCACAAGCTTTTGAATGTGAGGTTAAGAAGTCAGAAGTTCAGTGGAGTCAACCTAGACTTTATTTTTTTAAAAAAAGATTTATTTATTTATGATAGACATAGAGAGAGAGGCAGAGACACAGGCAGAGAGAGAAGCAGGCTCCATGCCAGGAGCCTGATGTGGAACTCGATCCCAGGTCTCCAGGATCACACCCTGGGCCAAAGGCAGGCGCTAAACCGCTGAGCCACCCGGGGATCCCCAGCCTAGACTTTAGATCAAGGAGAGTATCATGATCATAGCAATTTGGGGGAACAATTGTATCATGTCCGGTAAAGTGAATGGTAGAAGGAGAACTAGTGGCAAGAACATTAAATGTGTCTCCAGGTATTTCAGGGAGTGTGTAAGGAGAGTTACATTCAGGAAATGGGAAAGTGCTTAGATAGGAGGGAACATGTTTGGAGAACCTCTTGATTCGCAGAATCATGGCATGTTGGTGATGTGCCAGGCCCTGAGAGTGCACACATATAATATATTCTCTTTCTCACCCCCTGGAAGCTTACAGAAGGTCAGAGCTGATGATCAAGGGGTGCATATATCACTGCTTCATGGCCAGTGTACTGTGTGCTGCAAGGACACAGTCTAGTCTAGTGGGCTAAGGAAGAGGCTTCTCTGAGGAAGTGACATGTATGTTCTTGAAAGAGGAGGAGGGTATGATCAAGCAGGGCAGGGGAGGTGTGGGAAAAGGGGGAGAGAGAGCATTTCTGGCCCAACAAGGCAAGCACACAAGAATCCGAAGAGGTCACAGGCAGTATTTCCCAATATAGGGCCAAGGGGACCTGGATTCCAGACTTTGTTCAACCGCTGATGAGCATTTCAGGATCCTGGACAGTAAATGTCAGTAACCTTCCCTCCTCCTTTCCCTATTCTTGTGCACTATGATCAATCTAAATATGTCTTCACATATTCCCATCATCCCCTCTGAGGTCAGCAATGGCACCCCTAGGTGAGACAGCTACAGCATAGAAGCGAGAGGAGTAGCTGGAAAAGAGGGCAGAGAGGTTAGGTTTAGGTGAGGGTCAGATCAGGAAAACCTAGGTGTGGACTTTTTTCTCGGGAAGGGGTTGGAGGTAGGAAGACTACTGTGTAGAAAAACACATAATGTTTGGTAAGAGCATGAGTTATTTTGGGAGGAGGAAGTAAGTTAGTGGTGGAAATCAAGAAAGATTGCAAGTTTGAGAAGACAGGGATATGATAGCAGATTGGATTATTTGTTTATGTGTGCTGATTTACTGTCTTACCTATAAATGAGTTCTTATTACACTTTGAATTACCACTTAGAATGATGTATCACCCCACCCCCAAAGAAACATTGGAACATGGTACTGATGTGTGACAGACTTCAGGCTGTCTGCCTCTAAGTCCCACCTGAAGCTGTCCCCCAGACTCCACCCCACACCCAGGGCCCTACAGGAGTTTTGCCTGATGCGCTACAGACCCTAGAGTACTTCATTTCATTTTTCCACACTTTGTGGGTTATGTCACAAAGATGGTGAATTTTACTAGTTGGTTCTCTCTCCACTATCCACGAAGAGAGGCTTTGATACATACCAGTGTTGTTCACTTTGGGCACATAATGGCTGGGAAGAAATACTTTTGAGAAGGTGTGAGTCTGTCATTCATTCCTTAGAAAGGTTCCAAGAATTCTACTTTGCTTATTTTTGCGTGGTTTTGGATAGACCTTTCAAAGCACTCCTTTGCTGATGGAGTTTGTGATGATTCATTTCAAGTTTCAAAATAAATTTTTCCACTCAAGCAATTCAGCAAATCAGATTTCTTCCAACCATCACAACCTTATGCTCAGTCCCGTGGCCTGTCTACAGCTCTCACCCTTTGATCTGAAAGTGATTCCAGGTTAAAACCAGAGATGCCACTGTTGCGGGGACCAAAATTCATCAAGACCCGTGGTGTCAGGCCACACTCGGGTTTTCCACTAGTGGATCCAATCTGCATATTTGAGTAATCCTCCTTGAAGTGGAATGTGGTTATTGGCAAAAGAAAGTAAAATCAATTTTGACTTTAAAAAAAAAAAAAGGAAATTTTCAGATTTTTCTTGATGAAATTTAAGAGGAGGGTGATGAGAAAGAAAATATACTTACCAGCAGAGAAAAATTCCTAAAACATTTGTTTCTCAATTCTTCACAGTCCACACCCTGGAAATCATTCCCACCCCTTTTCAGAAGGATATGGATACTCATTCTGTGGGCACTAATTAAGCAGCAAGGGCTTTGGAGAGTTCTGGAAAAGGCCATTTTATACTTTTTAATAAATGTGCTGCCATAAGATATGGTCTCACTCATTTGGGGAATATAAAAAATAGTGAAAAGGAATAAACAGGAAAGGAGAAAAAAATAAGTGGGAAATATCAGAAAGGGAGGCAGAACATGAAAGACTCCTAACTCTGGGAAACGAACTAGGGGTGGTGGAAGGGGAAGGGGGCAGGGGTGGAGGTGACTGGCTGAGGGGACTGAGGTGGTCACTTGACAGGATGAGCACTGGGTGTTATTCTATATGTTGGCAAATTGAACACCAATAAAAAATAAATTTAAAAAAAGATCAGT